AGAAAGCTTATGAGGGTTGATTTAGGCAATGCGGGAACACTACGCTCAACAGCTTCAACATCTTTCACCTTAAAAAAAACAATCACATGTAAGTACAGACACATTCCAAACCACCTTTATGCACACTTAATTGCAAAGCAAGCGTACCTTTTCACCGGTGACCACAAGTGCCATTAGGGCCTCACTTCCCTGCTCATCTTCATCAGAGTCATGCTTAATTGGGGACAAAATGTCAACAATTTCACAGACTATTAGAAAATGACAAAACATTGGAAGGTTAGTTTTGGCAAGCATACCTTATCTGCAGTTACCACGTCCGGAGTGCCATGCTCACTTCCCTCATTGTCTTCCTCAGCCTGTAAACCACGAACATCTCAAATTATTTACACTTTCACATACAGTGTGAACTAAGCACACATACATTTCCTGTAAATGTACAGACATTTACAGCTTACTGCACAGACACTTTCAATGCGGTGCACAAACATAAGGCAATCATACCTTATCTTCATTTACCACTATCGGAGTGCCATGCTCGCTTCCTACATTGTCTTCCTCAGCCTGTAAACCACGAACATCTCAAATTATTTACACTTTCACATACACTGTGAACTAAGCACACATACATTTCCTGTAAATGTACAGACATTTACAGCTTACTGCACAGACACTTTCAATGCGGTGCACAAACATAAGGCAATCATACCTTATCTTCATTTACCACTATCGGAGTGCCATGCTCGCTTCCTACATTGTCTTCCTCAGCCTGTAAACCACGAACATCTCAAATTATTTACACTTTCACATGCAGTGTGAACTAAGCACACATACATTTCCTGTAAATGTACAGACATTTACAGCTTACTTCACAGACATTTACATATGCATATACAGACATTAGGCAACCATACCTTCTTTTCAGTGGCCTCATCCAGAATGTCATGCTCTCTACATTGTGTATAATGAACAGAATCATGCTTATCTTTGTCCTCATTGGTGACTTCCTGTTTCGTGAGCACATTAAATAATTGCGTAGACAGTTACATGTAACTACACCGACAATAAAATTGATGCACATATACATTTACTTCACAGACAAAACTAGTAACATGCACGTCTATTTTTTAATTCATACCTTCTCTTCAGTGACAGCTTGCTGTTTGCCATGCCCAACCACATCCATCAGCTTACATAACATGCCTTTCACCTCATCAAGTGTGGCTTGGATACCTGTAACACTTGTCCTCAGCTTGTCCATGTCATTCCTTACATGTGCAAGTTCTTCCATGACCTTTAATTTCTTAAAAAGTTTGACATCCACATCAGCAGCCCCATCATCATCTCCATCATCTTCTTCGGTAGTATCTTCTTCGTCAGATTCTTCTTCACCATCTTCCTCTCCATCATTGTCATCATCCTGCAGTAAAATTCAAATTATTACAGTTGAATGTGTAATAATGGTTCATGCATATTATGCAAAAAAAAAATTATAAAGTACTTCTTACACTTTCTTCTAAAGGCTCATCAGTAAATACTAGTTCCTTCAAAGAAGAATAGTGGAAAAACCCAACAGCTTTCCAATTCAAAATGCTAGCTTTTTCAGATTTCACTTTTTGGCCGCATTTCCCTGCAAGTCCAGGGATTTTCTCATACGCCCACACCTGTGTAAACAACCAAAGAAATTCTTGGTTAAAGCAAGTTAAAGACATTTTCTCATACGGCCACAGACAATTTCAGATTTTTACACAGACAATTCTAATAACACACAAACCAAGTTAAAGCGAACCTGCAAGACGTGGGGTAAGGACCAAACAGTGAACTTAGCATTCTTGTATTCAGGCTTCTTAGCTAATGAAGCTTCAAACTTCTCTGGTTGACCACGCATCAACGACTTCATGTTGCTCACCATAAGCTTATAGGACTCGAGTGCCCAAGGATACTTTTTGAAGTTCTCAAAGTCTTCAACCCAATCAAAATGATCAGCATTGATCATTGTGCCGTGGTCTCTAGTAAGCAACACACCATCAATGACGAAAAGGGAAGCGAACTTCAAAAATGCTAACGGCTCAATCCTCCTCTTTGGATTCAATGCCACCATTGTTTCCTTCAGATCTTGGTAAGTCACACGCTTCTTTCCTTTATAGAATATATCAGCCACACTACCTTTCTGCTTTTTTTTAACAAATGTCGGTCTGGTGGTGTACGCGGGCAGGTTTGTTATTTCACAGAAATCTTTAAAAGTGAACTTAAAGATCTTCCCTCTTATTGAAAACCAAAGCTCATCCTCTGGTTGTTGCTTAACCAGCCTTAACAACAGCAAATGCACAATCTGGCCAGAAAATTGCAATTCTGGAGGTTTAGCAAAATGACCCCATGGAAGCTTTTTGAACTCCTCCCTTTGATCGAGGGGCATGGAATCCAGCAAGTCACCCAATTTTCCAAAAAAAGTGCACTGGGAATACTGTGCCGGGAAATGGGACTTAACGGGAACCATGAGTTCATGCTTTTTCCTACAAACAACACAAATGAAGTCATATATCTACACAGTCATGCCTTACAACAGATTCAATTCTACACCCCATGTTCAAAATCCAAAATAATGGCCCCTTAAGATACCGAAACCCCTTCTATGTTGAGCAAATTGAATAATTTAAGCATATACTTGAAAAATACCATACTGATTACACAAAATTATTTATTATCAAGGAACACAAACAACACATCACAAACTACGGACAAATGAAGTCAAATGTAAAATCAGAAAACGACTTCAATCATAATGAAATGCATAACCTAAACCGTCGGGCCACAGACATTTTCAGTCCATCCCCCAAACAAATTACAAATCCTACAATCCGGCCCCTCAGGGTTCCCAAACCACCATTACAATGTGCTTCTCACTTCATGAAACTCATTGTTCAAGCGTATACTTTCGAAATACCATAATGATTTTATAAAAAAACTAGAGGCACAAACCACAGAATCGGGGCTCAAAATCAAGAATACTACTCAGAAATGTGTTCAAGAAGAGGATATTACCTTCTTTTTGAAGCCCCGGCCAATGACGACAGTGAAGTTCGGACCATTTCGCTAGTGGGTTCTTCAGGAGGGACGCCGGGTTTCGTAGTGTGGCCAGGAGACAGGGGATGCTTCGCGATGAGGATGGTGTGTGCGATAGGAGACGACTTCAGGGGATGGAAGTGGAGAGGCGAAGAAGAAGAAGACAACCGTGAGGGAGATATGCACACAGAACGAGAAGAAACGGCGAAGAAGAAAGGAAGTGGAGTGGCGGGAGGTTTGAGAAGAGGTTCACACGTGCGGATGAGAGGTGGGGGAGAGGGTAAAAAATTTAGTTTTGACCTTTTATATGGTGTACAATTTGTGTACATCTAATGTACACATAGCATTTTCCTTTCACCACTCACAAAGATCTAGCTATCCAGCTTCAGACGATTCCTCCACGAATTTTGAAAAATTCGAATTTTTTAGAGAAGAAGGATTTGATTCCATAAAAATTTATTCTAAACTGTTCAGATTTGCGGCCATAGATAATGACATTGAAATTTTTGAGATTCAAAAATCCTCGCTAAGAAGGATTAATTTCAATTCAGATCTTGCTCCACAGATCTGTCAATTTATTCACCACATCACAAGCTCAAATAATGTTAACCGCAGACAGATCAAAAAATTCGGGTCGATCACAATCTCCACTGAACTCAACAAATCGGGCTCTTATCTGTGTGAATTGAGGTACATATGCGTGAAACTAATATGTTGAGTAAATAAGAGCCCGATTTGTTGAGTTCAGTGGAGATTGTGATCGAGAAGTTTAACTCTTTTATTAAAACTTTGTACTATACATTTTATTTACTCAAATGCCTATTGATGTTAAAATATAAAATCCATTGAGGTGAAGTTTAATATGAATTTTCGAGGACTGAAATGTGAAAGTAAAAACAAATTATTTAGCTGAAATCTCCGCTCCATACTCTTCATCTAAGCTTATTATCCCCATCCAAGCTTATTATTCATGATAGTTATATTATTCGATAGTCATTAGTAAGCTTATCTGATTTGTAATAATACTCAAATGACATAATAATCAAAAGTGTCTAATTACTCAGTTCTTAGGATGTCAAGATATCTATTCATTCTTTTTGGAATGTGGCTTGTGAACCCAAACTGATTACCATGTGAAGAATTAGTGAATTAATTCTTCTGTTTCTCTTCATTTGGCTTCCACAGTTCTTTTTTATCGACTTACTCGATGAGTTGAGACACAATCAACAACCGAGATTAAATACTTGCTGCCAATGGGGTCATTGACTTGCTTAATCAGTTTTTGGACAGATCCACCGAAACCAGTTTTACATGTATATATTATAGCCCTGATCTTTATTTTCCTATGAATACCATGAACTGGGAACATTGTGGGGGTCAAAGCCAAGTCTGATCTAGAACATCCAGTCATCATTGTATACATGTATACGTAGTATATGATAGTGAGAAAATTAGTTCGGAATGCATGATAACGCCTAAGTAGGGATGGACTCGGGCCGGGCGGCCCGGCCCGGTTACTGTTTGAACCGGCCCAGCCCGGGAACCGGCCCGGGGGGCGGTTCGGGTCGGCCCGGCCCGGTTACTGTTCGGTTCGGGCCCGAGCCCTGTGATTGGCGAACCGGCCCGGCCGGTTCAGGCCCGGTTCGGGCCAAAATATATACGGAGTATATTTTTTTTTTTTTGAATTTTTTTTTAAGTTTTTGGGTTGGACTTGGTATTTTGGGTCATTTGAGGTGGTTTGGGGTAGTTTGGGGGTGAGGGGGAGGGTTGGGGGTTAATTAGGAATAGCCAAAAAAAATAATGAACCGAGGCCCGGCCCGGCCCGGACCCGGGATTACCCGGGCCGGTTCCGGGCCTCCCATTTCTGAACCGAGGCCCGGCCGGGTCCAGGCCCGAACCGGGCCCGAACCGGTCCACCCCTACGCTTAAGAGGCATGAACTTATGATAAAAGCTGTATAAGAACAAAATGAAGAATAAAAAACCTTGTAGTAGCAACAATTCAAAAGCGTAGAACAAAAAGAGTAAAACATATAGGCTTTGTATGTTTTGAAGAGAAGACCTAGAATAGCTTTCATCATTTGGTTTAACATGAAAAAAGTTATCACCCAAAATTTGATTCCATTTTCTCCAATACACAGTCTACACTCTATCTCTTCAAAACTCGCACAGAGATGGAGCACATGGAACCGATTTCTGCAATACTGAAATATTAATGAGATGATTAGACCAAACACATATAGGTAAAACTTAAAAGTCTAAGAAAACAATGCAACCAAGTACAAAGCATCTATCTTCAATTTATGGGAATAGGATATGTGGTCTATACTCAAAATCTTTATTTAAACATAGCTTGTTTTTCATATTTTCATATTTTCATATTTAACTTAGTTTGGTAGTTGAATGGCTTATAGTTTTGTAGCTTTGTCTCCTTAAACATTCAATGTCACATAAGTGCAGTTTTTAATGATTAAGTTGTCCGGTTTGAGGCTTATACCTTCAGATTGAAAACCACCTTTTCTAACCTCGCGTTAGTGCATGCTTCCTCCTACCTTTTCTATGCTAATTGTGAATAGATAAGCTTTGGCCATAAGTCTTAGCAGAATTGGCAAATATGTCACAAATGACTCCAAGCCTATTAACTTTCTCAAGGGAATCTATAAGAAAAGGCTAAAAGGTCAGATAGGCCCTTGAACTGACTTAAAATCTTCAATTAGGCCCCTTATATAGGAGGTTCTGTTTGGCCGTCGCTAATTGGGGCGGTTCCCGGTGGAAATTTTTGATTAAATTTTTTGAGCATCTTCTTCATTAAGTCTAGTTTAGCCATACCAAATTTCAGCTACAAATTCAACCAAGAAGGCAGTCAAATGATTTTCCGAAATGTACTGCGCTGTTTAACTTCGCAGTTATCTTCAAAAAATCATTTGACTGCCTTCTCGGTTGAATTTTTAGGTGAAATTTGGTATGAGTAAACTAGACTTAATGAAGAAGATGCTCAAAAAAATTCATCAAAAAATTCCATTGGGAACCGCCCCAATTGGTGACGGCCGGGCAAAACCTCCTATGTAAGGGGCTAATTGAACACTTTAAGTCAGTTCAATGGCCTGTTTGACCCTTTAGCCTTAAAAAACTCTGCGAAAGGGTCAAATAGGCCCTCGAACTATCTTAAAAAGTGCAATTAACCCCTTATATAGGAGTAGTCCTGGACTCGGGCCGGTTCGGGCCCGGTTCGGGCCTGGGCCCGGCCGGGCCTCGGGCCAGGAAATGGGAGGCCCGGGCCCGAACCGCCGGTGGCCAGTTCCGGTCCCGGTTCCGGGCCAAACCGGGCCGGGCCGGGCCGAACCGGCCCACTTAATTTTTTTTTTTTTTTTGTTCTCCTATTTAATCCTCTACCCCTTCCCCTCAACCCCAAACCACCCCAAACCACCTCAAATGGCCCAAAATACCTATTCCAACCCAAAACTTTAAAAAAATTTCAAAAAAAAAAAAAAAAAAAAATCCGGCCCAGACCGGGCCCGAACCGGCCGGGCCGGTTCACCATTTGGAAGGCCCGGGCCCGGAACCGGGAACCACCGGGCCGGTTCGACCCGAACCGCCGGTGGACCGGGCCACCGGGCCGGGCCGGGCCGGGTGCTACAGTGGCCGGGCCGGTTCCGGGTCGGGCCGCCCGGCCCGAGTCCAGGCCTATATAGGAGGCTCTGTCCGGCCGTTGCCAATTGGGGCGGTTCCCGGTGGAATTATTTGATGAAAGTTTTTTAGCATCTTTTTTATTATATCTAGTTTACCCATACCAAAACTCAAATAAAAAATCAGTCGGGAAGACAATCAAATGATTTTCTGAAATGTACTGCACTGTTTAACTGCGCAGTTATCTTCAAAAATGTATTTGACTGCTTCCCGATTGAATTTTTAGGTGAAATTTAGTATTTGTAAACTAGACTTAATAAATAAGATGCTAAAAAATTCATAAAAATTTCCACCGGTAAACGACTCAATTGGCAACGGCCGAACAGAGCCTCCTATGTAAGCATCGAATTGCACTTTTTAAATTAGTTGGAGGGCTTATTTGACCCTTTAGCCAAAAAACTCTTTTCAAGTTGTCCCTAAAAAGATCCAAAAGCGTATCTACTAATGTTTACTAATACATAATTAAAGATGATTAAAGTCAAAATTGTGTGTAGTAAAGCATGAAAGTCAAACTTTCTAAAAAATTGTTAAAGCTTTCAATGTGATCTCAAACTTTCTAAAAATTCATTTTTGGAAATGTTTTCTAGAGAGACCTCAAAATCTTTTCTAAAATAACTCGCTAAAACAGATCTCGTTCAACTTTAATTTTACGCGGCCTAGTTTACTTTGGGCCCGTGATCTGTACTCAATGAACTCACTGAGCATCAAAATTATTACTTATGATAACTCCTCGCATAAAATATTGATTCTTTTAAAGTGACATAACTAACATGATCAGAAGACTTGCTTTACATTAGAGCGCTTTACATTAGAGCACGTTTGCTCTGAGTGCTATGACTTTTGTTTCTTAGGGTCTGGTTCTTCAGATGGACCAAAGAGTCTTCCCTCGATACTGTCCCACACTTCTCTAAATGTTTTAGCCTAATTCAATGGAGAAACTTTGTGGTTTAAAAATAGCAAAAATCGGGGGTGGGGAAGCTATATAACTTTAGTAAACCTGATTGAGTAAAGAATCAAGAAAATCTCCCAATTCATTCGGCAGGTGTTTCTCTCTATCCATATTGCACGGGTGGCGAGAGATCTATACAAACAAACTTAGGGTTAGGTGCAATGAGAATGGCAATAATTACAATATGTATTTTGCTACAAATCAGAGAGCAACATATTACCATTTCAGATTGTTCGTGCAAGCTCCTTCTAATAGCAACCCGAGCACGATAAGTCTCCCAGATTACTTCCATAGCGTCTTCAACCAAGTTTCGATATTTTTCACCTCCTCTCCTCACAAGCCTTTTAATCTCTACGCACATATCTTCAAATGGCAATCCTTTGAAAAGCTATAATAGAGACATAATAAATACTCCAATCAGAGAAACAGCATGGACAAAGAATGATTGAATGGAATTTGTCAAGGCCTAAGAATGCTCCAACCAAGGTCACAGCGTGTAAGCAAGGTGCGGTGTCAACGAGCAGCCTTGTCACCTAGGTGACATCTAGGCATCAAGGAGCCGTGTGATGTGATATGGTATGGTACAGTACGGTATGGTATGATATCATTAGATACTATACTCCAAACAGAGACAACATAAGCAAAAAAGGAAAGAAACAAAATTGTTCACAAGTAGATATTCTGGCCTTCATTTGGTCTTCCAAGTGCCTCTTAGAGTTTGAAAGGTTCAGAGACATTTTTCCTTCTTCAGCAGACTTCCCTTCTTGATTTTCAAGCTCTTTCATCTTCTTGAGGATGTTATGCACAACATCCTTAAATTTGGTGAATTCGAACCACGAATACTGTCAAAAGAAAAGCCATAAAAGAACATGTGTCATTTTAAGATAGATTTTAAGCAAGGCAAAGTCACAAACGCAAAAAAGTGATAGAATGGTGTGAGGTAAGGTTACAATGCATCATTAAATTGACTTATTTCTTAAAAGGAACATAAGTACTGGTGAGCATAAAATACAAAACGCCTTTGAGGGTATTTAACACAATATGCTATTAAGAAAAAGGTACTCCTTACTACGTATTTATTGGGAACAGAAGAAATGAAAAGATATAAATTTTTTGGCGGATATCTTTCTTCAATCGATTTCAATGCATCGTCTGGATTGCAAGGTTGATGAGTGAAGGGCCTAAATGATATCACAAGACTTTCTACATGTGTATCTGGAATATTCCTAAATCTCTATAATCTAGTGTCTTACCATAGCAAATATTTTATCATCAAGATGAGTGGGTTTATCATCATGACCCTCACATTCATCTTGAAGCACAAATTTATCCAGTTCCCCTTCATTTACTAGGAAAGTACCAGTTTGATTGAATACATCTCTTATATGTTCTTCAGATTTACTTCTTCTGAGCGGAACCCCGGACTTCTGAAACAAATATATCATAAAACACATTACAGGTAGCAAACTTCTCACTTCAAAATTACACTAAGGACGACAGTGAAATCACTCACCTCGTGTAGACTTTTAAGGCTATGTTGAAGACAAGTCCATGTCTGTGTTGTCTCCCAAAAGGCAGATAAAAGAGGCGTAAAGCGTTCGATATCAAAAAACAGTTGTGTATAAGGTGCCTGTTTATTTACAAATAAATGAGTGAACAAATCAATCATCGATCAATGAAATGAATGAGTAAATGAATGACTAAACGCATATATAGATACATAGACAAATAAATAAATAAATAAATAAATAAATAAATAAATAAATGAATGAATAAATAAATAAATAAATAAATAAATAAATAAATAAATAAATAAATAAATAAATAAATAAATAAATAAATAAATAAATAAATAAATAAATAAATAAATAAATAAATAAATAAATAAATAAATAAATAAATAAATAAATAAATAAATAAATAAATATAGATAGATAGATAAATAGATAAAAAATAAATAAAAAATAAAAAATAAACATATAATTAGTTGAGCGTGGAAAATTGTGCGTTTTTTTTCTACGTACCTGGATTTGGGCAAATTTAGAGTGTAGATAGTTGTCAAATTCCACAATCGCCTTTGTCTTCTCGGAACATTCGTTGCAGGGGCAGACCTTCGAAAAATCATATTTGAGTAGCTTTACCGGTGGCACAAGCGCCCTTACACCGCAAGGCATTCTTCAAAAAAAACGACGGAGAGGAAAGGCCGGATGATGAGGGGAAGGAGATGGGCGTGAGTCTGATTAGCTAGGGTTGATGGATGTCCGGATCAGTCTGAAATCATCGCCCCTCTCGCTTACCCTCCTATAATCTATATCATCGTACAAGTCTATGGATGGGCTCGGCTAAGGTGATGGGCCGGATATGCAAAATATCCCTACTAGACCGATGTGTTCTAAGACTATGGTTTTAACATTATAAACATTTATCATTTTGACTAGGTGATTAATTTCCTTTACACAAGAATGTTTTGATATTATTTCTCTAAGTTTACTCTTATAAGAAGTACTTGTATTTGTTTGTGTATTTTGAAAACAAGTTAACCGAGATTCATGTTGCATGCATGCAGTGGCGGAACCAGAGATAAATTCGAAGGGGTGCTCTTATATACATGATATAATTTTTTTACAAAATATTTTTTTATAAGGATAAAGGGAAAACAGGTAAAAACTAATCATTAGATATATAGAGTTCGACTCCATTAAAAAAGGTTGTTCCGGGGAAAATGTGAATGGGTACACTTTTTACTTATTCTGCTGCACTAGTAAATACTGCCTCCGTTCTTAAATAGTTAAAACATCAGAAATTTTACGCAATTCACGTGTTTTACTTTGACTATATTTTATTCACAAATACATTAATATTTTAATTTTTTAAAATATAATTAAATTGTTCCCACCTTAAATTTAAAAAATGTTAGTTTTTTAAAAATAATACAATCAGCCAATCAGGGAATTAAAAAAAAAATTGGTTAACATTGTGCATTGGCAAAATGAAAATGAAGACGGTGCAACTAATAACAACAGAGGAAGTATTTATTTTTCACTTTTTCACGGTAAGAGGAAACTTTGATTTATTTACCATATTATCATCGCATTTCTAATAAAATATCATGTTGTTATTCTCTAAATAGGAGTAATTACTGTTAATTTTGAAAAAACTCTCATGTTTAAGGTCTGATGCTACCAAAACATGAATATAATTACTCTTATTTTGGAATACATAAACACTTGTAGTCCTATTTAAAAGAATTTTCCGAATGGTGAATTTTTTTTTTTTTGGCAAATGGAGTAATTTGTATTAAGAAATAAGAATGTAAAACAAAATCTATAAAAATTTAAAGAGTATAGTTTAAACAACATCATGTCAAACGGCGATTCAATTGAAAAAAATTAGTAAGCATGCGGCATATGTCTAAATACGAACGGCAAGTAAAAAATTCAAAACCAAGCAAAGTGAGGGATAATACGAAGCAAAATAAAATGCAGCAGCAGTGGGGACTTGAACATGGGATGTAGGGAAGGCACATATTCTCATCAGCGGAACTTCCAAGTCAACCATCCTAACCATTGTTTAAATTCTTCCACCGGGGCGGTACTATATACGTTTTCTTAACGGGGCTGAGATATATATACACACACACACACACTACCGCCGCCGGCGAACGGGAGGCGGCGGCACCCGCTCGCTCCCCCTGGTTCCGCCACTGCATGCATGGTTTACTCTTATATACTAGTTGCCCATATTAAAGATTCAACCCGCAATAAATTTCTTTCAATACCCGACCCTACCTGACCCGTTCATGCATGGTTTACCAATTTATATTTCATACCGCGGGTTGGTAAATAGCCAACCCAAATAAATTGGGTAGACCCAAAAAATATAGCAAACCCGACTCAACCCGCGCGATGTGCAGTCCCCGTCGGTTTCCGGTTGGTCTCTTCCAAAAAAGAACTCTGAAAATAGTTGGAAACTAATACCCTTTTTTTATAAAAAAAAAAAAACAACGGGATAAGGGTCAGTTTGGTCCTCCAAGTTGCAAAAAAGGGTCAAATAAGTCCTTATATAGAAAATGTTGTCCGGACGTGCCATTTGAGGTGGCTCCCGGTGGAATTTTTTGATGAAATGTTTTGAGCATCTTATTCATTAAGTCTAGTTTACTCATACCATATTTCAGATAAAAATTCAATCGGGAAGAAATTCAAATGAATTCTTGAAGCGCAGTTATCTTCAAGAATTCATTTGAATGTCTCCCCGATTGAATTTTTAGCTGAAATTTGGTATGAGTAAACTAGACTTAATGAATAAGATGCTCAAAATATTTCATCAAAAAATTCTACCGGGAGCCACCTCAAATGGCACGTCTTGACATAATCTTCTATATAAGGACTTATTTGACCCTTTTTTTACAACTTCGAGGACCAAAATGACCCTTTTACTCCAAAAAAAAACTTATAAAGAGGCTTCATCGCTATGCCTGCAAAACAAAAATACCTCACTACCTCACCCCCACCCCCCACCCCGGTCCCGCCTCGATCCATACCCTACCCTTACCTCGGCCCCACCTGATCCCGACCCCACCACCCTACCCCTACCCTACCTTACCCCAACCCCACCCACCCCAACCTAGGCCCTTACCACCTTACCCCAATCCCCTACCCCCACCACATCGGCCCTAAGAGACCCCACCATATCCTATCTTACCCTACTTCTACCCTACCTTACCCCGACCCTAACCCCTACCCTACCTACTCGACCCCATCCCACCGACCCCCCACCCCTATCCTACCCCACTCCTACCCCTACCCTACCCTACCTTAACCCATACCCCGACATCAACCCCCGCTAACCCCTACCCCCTATACCCTTACCCTACCCTACCTTACCCCAACCTCGACCCCACCCTAGGCCTACCCACAATCCCCACCCTTACCGATGTGGTAAGGGGATAGGTGTTGGGGTAGGGTGGTAAGGGCCCTAGGGGTAAGGGGTCGGGGTGGGACCAATGTGGTAGGGGGGGTAGGGTGTTGGGGTAGGGTGGTAAAGGGCCTAAAGGGTTAGGGTAGGGTGGGAAGGGGTCGGGGTAAGGTAGGATAGGGTGGGATCAGGGCCTAGGGGGTAAGGGGTGGGGTCGGGGTTTGGGGCCTAGGGGTAAGGGGTTTTGGGGTAGGGTAGGGGTGGTGAGGGGTGTAGGGGTGGGGTCGGGGTAGAGGGTAGTGTAGGGTGGGGTCGGGTAGGTGGGGTAAGGGCAGGTCAGGTAGGTATGGTAGGCAGGGTGGGTTCCGGTAGGTAGGGTGGGTTCAGGCAGGTAGGGTAGGGTGGGGTCGGTAGGTGGGGTAAGCATAGGGTGTGGTAAGAGTATGTTCGGATAGATAGGGTAGGGTAGGGGGTAGGGTGGGGTCGGGTAGGTAGGGTATGGGTAGGGCAGGATTCAGGTAGGGGTGGGGTTGGGGTTTGGTAAGGGGTGGAGTCGGGATAGGGTGGGGGTAGGGTGGGGTCGGGTAGGTAGGGTAGGGGTAGGGGTGGGAGTGGGGGACTGGGGGTAGGTCAGGGTAAGGTAGGGTGGGGTTAGGGGTACGGTATGGGTACACATATTATATTATATACTTGTGTTCATGAATGTTTGTGTGTGTATATATGTATGTATGGGGTTATTTTGGACATTTTAATGTTAATCGGTGTTTTAAATCGTTTGAAGTAAACACGGTCTTACAACATTGACTATTTTATACGCCACTTATTAACACGGATCTTAATAATCACCGTTTAATAACATGTGAGTAAACATGTCCTAAGTCTTGATAATTAAATGAATACGCCGACTAGATTACAAAGTAGAAATCTGCACTTATGAATTGCGTAGTTATCAAAATAGTATAGTCATAGTAGTTATAAAAATAGTAGTTCTAAACTGCTATACTAGTTAATGCAAAACCTTCATACTATTTATATAACTTATATTTGATCATAATATTGTTGATGTTTAATAATGTCATAATATAGCAAATTGATTTCAGGATGTATGTGCTCTAATCATATTACTAGGCAAAGTACAGTAATACTGTTGAGGGAAGCACATCGTTTTATTCACACCATAATATTATAAGATGTTAAGATTACACCATATTCCTGCTTATTTATAAGATGTTAAGATCACACCAGTCGGTTCATACGCATTTATACCAGATTGTTTATACCAGTTAATTTAACTATTTTAGAATAACAATAATTTGTTTGTGCGTGTAAATGTAATGCGGGTATTAATTCTTTTATGTCCAGATCAGTGTTTGCGGCGTCATGGTGATGGCCTGAGAGTGCATATGAGAACATGACAGCGGAAAGATGTGAATTTGCAATGAGGCTGTGGGCTTTGAGGAAGGGATCGACCTAGACAAGTTTGGGTCTGCATGTTTAGTGTACGGTGGGTTTGGTTGTAAAACAATGATGTAACCTTACTATATACTGATTTTTTTGTGTTTCATTTATTGCCCGAATGTACAAAGTTAAATGTGTGCTTTGGTTGTTAAATGTAAGAGGTTGTACAATGTTTTACTATCAATGTTGTACAATGTCCTAGAATGTACTCCCAAATATTACCTGAATTGATATGCCTTTTTGTTTTTGTGGCAAACACTTAGGACCTGTTTACTAACATAGCTATTTTCCAGTTTTCCAGAAAATTGGAAACTGGAAAACAGAAAATAGGAAACGTGTTTACCAAAGAAATTTTTGGAAAACTGGAGAAAGGAAAAAAGAAAAACGTGTTTACCAAATCGTTTTCCAAAACGAAAAAATGAGACATGTCTCTCTTTTCCAAAACGAAAAAATTAACCGTTTCCTTTAACACTTGATTTTTCCGTTCGGTCACGCCATTTTGTTGTGGTGTATACGGAGCCGTGGTCTCATGAATGATTCCAACAGATTGAAAATAATGGGGATCCATATATTCTCCTCCCCGGTCAGTTCTAAGACATTTAATTGGATTACCCAATTGCAATTCAACCTCGGTTTTATACACTTTAAATTTCTCTAAAGCTTCGTCCTTAGTGTGCAATAAATACACATAACAAAACCGAGTTGAATCATCAATAAAAGTAGCAACATACTTTTTATTGCCAAGGGAAGGAGTTGAGTGAAAATCACATAGATCACTATGTACAAGAACCAAAATGGCCGAATTCCTTTCAACATTAGGAAACGGTTGTTTTGTGATCTTAGTAAGCATGCAAGTCCTACACTTATCATCATTAATATCAAAAGCCGGAATTAAACCATCTTTAGACATTTCATGCATTTTTCTAAAATTAACGTGAGCTAATCTAGCAT